CCCTGAAGATCATATTGTTGATCGCCAATTGTTCCCTTCCTCAACTTGCACGTTTTCATTTCTGCCAATAGGTTACTAATCAACATTTACTGTAAGCTCACCGAGTCTCACAGCTACCTTGACCACATTCCCTACAAGTCAAGTTTTTGCACTCAATTCCTCCTTCTCTGTCACATCTGTTCTGACAATGACACCTTCCATGCCAGTACTCTTGAAAAGTCTACTTCATGCCTCAACTGAGGATTTCTCTCAAATGTGGTTGACAGGGCCTTCAACCAAGTCTCACCCCTTTCAGCTCCCTCCAAGGACCACCATGGAGTTCCCTTTCCATTTTCAATGAGTCATTCTCCTTGATTTCTTCCTTTCAGTGTCCTAAAATGGACCAGTCCTTTGTGACATCCTGGTCTAAGTCCTAAATCTCTCCCATGCAAGCACAGGGGATGCAACACATCAAATTTTCCCCCCTTTTTTTTTACATTATCCTACTCTCAAATCCAGTGATTTACTTGCAATTCTTTCAATTTAATGTGCTGTGTTCACAGATCACATTAGTGTCTCCTCCACTGAAGGGACCAAACAGTTTGAGCAGTTGCTTTGAGAACACCTTTGTGCTGTCCACAAGCACTACATTAAGTTTCTGATTTCCTGTCACTTTAATTCTCCTCTCCACTCCCAATCTGTCCTCAGCCTCATACATTGTTTTAATGAAACTCAATATTAGTTCATGGCACTGCACCTCAACTTCGAAATCTGCACTTTACAACCTGCTGGACTCAACATCTAAGTTAGACCATTTCAGATCATAAGCACTGCTACATTTTCACCCCCTCCAAACATTAGGAATTGGTGATGATTCTGTTATTCCTATTTCGACCTTCTTTGGTCACATCTTTTTTTTCACTACTTGTCCTATAACCACTAAACCTTTTTGCCTTTCAGTGTCATTTCCTACCGTCAAATCGATCATAGTAAATTACTCAGATAGCATCTGTTACTCAGGCAACATCTATCAAAATAGAAACAGAACTAATATTCCTGTTGATGATCACTCGATTCATTAATTCCATCGATTGCCCAGGTATGTCTTGTACACAAAAGGCAGGATAAATCCAACCTGACCAATTACTACCCAATCAGTCTACTTTCAATTGGCAGTAAAGAGATTGTACTATTGATGACACTTGCTTTCAAGCAGCACATGCTATTAATAACCTGCTCACTGATGTGCAGTCTAGGTTCTGCCAGGGCCACTATGCTTGCGACCTCATCACAGCCTTGGTTCAACACAGATAAAAGTGCCGAATTCTAAAGTTGAGGTGAGAGTGACTGCCATTGGCATCAAGATCACGTGACTGAATGTCGCATCAAGGAGCCTAGCAAAACCAGAGCCAATGGGAAGCAAGAGGAAAACTCTCTATCGGTTGGAGTCATACCTGGAATGTAGGAAGATGGGTTGGGGTTATTGGAGTTCAATCATCTCAGTGCCGGGCCTTTGCTGCTAGAGTTTCTCAGGATAGTATCCTAGGCCTAATCATCTTCAGTTGCTTCATCAATGACTTTCCCTCCATCATAAGAACATTGGGGATGTTTACAAATGATTGTATAATGTTCAGCACCATTTGGAACTCCTCAGAGACTGAAGCAGTCCATGTCAAAATGCAGCAAGACCTGGTCAATATCCAGGTTTGGGTTCACAAATGGCACGCAGCACTTGCTCCATACAAATGCTAAGCTATGACCATCTCCAATAAGAGACAATCTAACCACTGCCCCATGACATTCAATGACATTGCCATCAACGAACCCCCTCTAACAACATCCTGGGGGGTTACCATTGACCAGAAACTAAACTGGATTAGCCATAAAAATAGTGTCTAGAAAAGCTAGGCAAAGGTTAGAAATACTGTAGTAAATAACTCATCTCTTGATTTCCCCAAAGCCTATCCACGACCTATAAGGCACAAGTCAGGAGTGTGATGCAATACTCCCCACTTGCCTGGACGAGTGCAGCTTAAACAACACTCAAGAAGCTTGACACCATCCAGAACAAAGCAGCCCATTTGAATGGCGCCACATCCACAAACACCACTTCCTCCACCACCAATGCTCACTCACAGCAGTATGTGCCAGCTACAAATTGCACTGCAGAAATTCACCAAGAATCCTTAGATAGAACCTTCCAAACCCATGATCATTTCCAGTTAGAAAGGAAACGGCAGCAGATACACGGGAACACCACTTGCTGCAAATTCCCTTCCAAGTCACTCACCATCCGGACATTGCCATTCTTGTGTCTTTAGGATAAAATCCTGGAATCCACCCCCGCCCCCAAAGGCATCGTGGGTCTACCTACAGCACATGTATTGGCGCAATCCAAGAAGACAATTCACAACCACCTTCTCAACGGCAACTAGGAATGGGGAATAAATGCTGCTCCAACCAATGACACATGAAAGAATTTTTCAAAAGTAGTCAGCAGGTCCTGCAGAATCTGTCCCATGAGTCACAAGTGAATTAAAATAAGATTCTACTTTCACAGATACTGCCAGACCAGAGTTTTTCCATCACTACTTGTTTCGGTTCCTGGTTTCTAGCATTAACAGTGTTTCACCTTTTTTTTGTCAATAAAGTGAAGGTTGTTATGATATTGCTGTATGTGGGACCTTCCTGCATCCATATCATTTGCTGTGCAATGTACAACAGTGACTGTATTTCAAAAGTAGCTCACTGGTTGTGAAGTGCTATAGCATAGCCCGAGGTCTTATAAAGGAGCTATTTAAGTTAAGCCTTTCTTGCAGAATTAAACTTGTAACATGTTTTGGGGACACAGGCCACATTACATGACAATATGCAAAGCTGCCGCTGCCGTAAGACCTAAAATGTAAGAGATGTAGGCCATTCAGATCATTAAATGTGTTCTGCCATTCAATGAGTGTGATCTGATAATCCTCAACTCCACTTTCCTACCAGTTCCCCATAATCCTTGATTCGTTAACTGATTAAAAATATATCTTCACCTTGAATACACTTACGGACCAAGCGTCGACAACCCTCTACAGTAAAGAATTCCACAGGTTCACTACCCTCTGAGAAGAAATTCCTCCTCTGTCTTAAATGAGTGATCTCTTATTTTAACTCTCCCACAAAGGGGAATAACCTTTCTGCATTTATCCCATCAAATTCCTCAAGAATCTTATACATGTTTCAATGAAGTCTCCTCTCATTCTTCTAAATTCCAATGAGTACGGGCTCAACCTATTCAACCAATCCATGCAAGAAAACCCCTCCATACCTGATGTCAGTCTAGCGAATCTTCTCTGGACTGCCCCTAATACTAGTTTATCTTTCTTTATCTAAGGGGGCCAAAACTGCTTGCCGTATTTCACTGGGTTTTGACTGGTGCCTTGTGTAGTTTTAGCAAGGCCCTCCTACTTTTATACTTAACTTCCTTTGAAATAAAGGCCAACATTCCATTTGCTTTTCCTATTACCCACCGAACACGATTGCTAGCTTTTCACGATTCATGGATGACGGCTCCCAAATTCCTCTGTACTGCAGCTTTCTGTGATCTTTTGTCATTTAAATAATATTCAGCTCCTCTATACTTCCTGCCAAACTGCATAACCTCACATTTTCCCACATTACATTCCATTTGTTAAGTTTTTGTATACTTACTTAACCTGTCATATCCCTCTACAGACTCTTTGTGTCATCTTCACCACTCACCTATTTTTGTGTCATCCACAAACTTTCCTCATCCAGTCATTTATATATGGTAAATTATGATGTCAGCACTGATCCATGTGGTATTCCATTTGTTACAGATCCCCATCCTAGAATTGAATCCCTTATCCCAACTCCAGCTAACTAATATAAAACAATCCTTATCTATACTAATATACAACCCCCAGTTCCATTGACTCTTATTAATTAGCCTAATATGTGGTACCTTATCAAACACCTTCTGCAAATCCAAATATATTAAATCCACTGTTTTCCATTTATCTATACTGCTTGTTACCTCCTCAAAAGAACTCTAGTAAACGTCAGGGATGATTTCTTCATCGTGACTCTGCTTGATTATATTATGCATTTCTGAAATACTATTAATTCCTTTATAATAGACTAACATTTCACCAACAACTGACATTAAGCTATCTGTTCTACAGTTACTGTTTTTGTCTCCCTCCCTTTTGGAATAAAGGTGTTACCTTGGCAGTTTTCCAATCCTCCAGGCCCTTTCCAGAATGTAAGCAAAACTGGAAGATCACCAGCAGTACAATCCACTATCTCTGTAGCAACTTCCTTTAATATTCGAGGACGCAACACATCAGGCCCAGGGGGAATTTTTCGATCTTTAACCCAATTAGTTTCCCTAGCATTTTTTCTCTAGTGATAGATTTATTTGCATTTATTTTCTCGCTCCCTTTTGCCCCTGGATTACTTAGCAATGTCAGCCCCATAGCCATGTCACTCAGTTTACAGTAATCATAATGATGACAAACTAGTGGTTACTACACTGGAACAAAAACAGAAGTTGCCGGAAAAGCTCAGCAGGTCTGGCAACATCTGTGAAGAAAAAAAATAGTCAGAGTTAACGTTTCAGGTCCGGTGACCCTTCCTCAGAACAGCAGGAACTATACTGGAAATGTGCTGGCAGTAATTAGCATTTAGCCTTGGATCAGCAGCAGCACTCTCACCTCTTCGAGACCTGATCGCACGATGTGGATCATTGAAGGTCTAAGTACCATCTGCCTGTCCAGGAGAAGAATTCCCTATTTAATATTCCCTACGTTTTTCCCTAATTCAAGTGCCTTCAAACCCAAGGCCTTCTCCCATCTCCAGAGAGCTCTTTAAGTGGCCCCAACGCCCGATGATCCGCCGCCTCTGGGCAGTCCCAGGGCTCCAATGCCCCAATGCCCCAATGCCCTCCCGGGCGCTGAGGCCTCTCTTTTACCACCCCCCCCCCCAAACCCCTCACCTTCTCTTTCACAACTTACGCTTGTACTCGGCCATCAGCCGTTTCAACGCTGTCCCTGCCATCGCCGCGACCGTTAACGACGTCACGAACGGGCGGGTGGGGGGAGAAAAGGAGGGAGGACCGGTTACACCGACGCACCGCTCCTACTTCCGGTAGGGGGGGAAGGGAATTTAGCGACGCACTCCTCGCGCGCTTCTTCCGTTCCTTCCTTTGTCTTCGCCCCGTGGGGGACATGCCAAGATGGCGCTGTTGCCCCCTGTCCTCTGTCTTCTCGTCGGTATGGCTGCTCTTGGCGGCGGCCAAATGTACGGGGACGGGGGAGCTTTCAGTCCCGGGCAGACTGGCGGCAACGGGGCGTCGGTGGCTCAACAACGCAGGTAACGGACAGGGAGCAAAAATCTCAACAGAGGCGGTCATAACGGAGGGGAGCGACAGTAATGCTTACCGGGGTCAGTAATAATGGTGAGAAATGACGAGAATACTTACCGGGGTCAGTAATAACGGTGAGAAGAGACAGTAATACTCGACGGGGTCAGCAATAACGGTGAGTAGTGACAGT